CGCGACCCGTCTCTCCCTCCCCCTCCCCTCGTCCGTCGTGAGGTCTTGAACGAAAACGGTGTCTCCTATTTTTGGTATCACTTCTCCAGCTGTCTTGCCTACGTTTGACAGCAGTACTACTGCTACCAAAAATCGTTGTTAATTGTTTCACCAAGCTGCTGTCGCAAACACCGTGGCCTTCGTTTTATTGTAGACACTAGTACTCCCACATCGCCTACTCCTCCTTGTCGATTTTTTTCAACATTAGTCCCTTCTTTGGTTGCCGCTGCCTGCTGTGAGGCACTTCAGTGAGCGCGTCTGATACTCACTTTGTTTGCTGCCTACCATCTTCATAAGTATTGTGTCTCTTTGGCACATCTTTAGGCAGTGAAAGTTGGCAACACTGCAGATTGCACTTCAGATGGGCGACACGCCTTTTTGGCTTTACTAAAGCCCACCTTGTTCTATGACTTCTGTTTGCATTGTTGTTCGCTTAGCTTGCAACACGAAACTGTTACTCAACTAGTGAAGTTTTACCTGCTCTCTGGTCTCGGCCTCAGATAGCTGCCGCTTTCTGCGGAATGTCTGATTAACGACAACAAAAATGTCGGTGATGGTCGTACCAAATGTTTGTATACTTACGATTAAACTTGGCGTTGAAATCACTTTTGATGTATTAAGTGCAGTTACTTTCAAGGACCAAACTTTTTAGCGCCAGTTCATCCTCTCTAATATTACACTACCTTCTAAGCCCTCCTCGTAAGAAGGAAAGGCAGACGAGTGTTGTGTTGTGCTGTGGACTTCTGCTGTTATGCTACAGTTTGTTACAGTACACTTGATTTTTGTCGGCTTAACACTAAATTAAGACTAGGATTTTTTAAAAATTTTTTGTTGCTTTTATTCATGTTCTCCTATAGCACAATACACTAAAACAAAAGGTCTGGTTCTGGTTCCGGCAACCTCCGATTCCGCCAAAATTCTCTCTGTTTCCCTTAAATAAGCTGAGGCAAACATGTAATTTTCCCTCCTAAATGGCCTTCCGATGATAAAATCCACACATCAGATCAAAATAACAAGACCAACTGTACAGTAAACTACCAACTGCATTTCGATCATGACTTCCCACGGATAAGCCACTCTGCTGT